AAAACCCCAAAACCCCAAAACCCCAAGGGGTAATTATTAAGAGATTTTTAAGATAGTGCAAATTTGAAATATTAAGATAAAAATGAATTTAAACTTAAGTGGAATTGTTGGAAAACCCTAGGATGAGAGTCAAATTGAAAAACTTAAGAAATCATAATTTGACACAAAATATGAAAGCTATTTATCAGAATTGAAGAAATTTCAAGATTACTTGGAGCCATAACTATCTGACTCTGATTAACTAGAGAACCCCAATAATATAATACTTGGCAGTGAATCTTCAGTTTAGTATCAAAATCATGAATTATCTGAAGAAGATTAAAAATCGCCCCGAGATTAAAGAGATTAAGAAGAGTAAAAGCATCACGATGCTGAAATGATTAGAATTAAGCTAATGAAGCTCGGAAATACCTTGGCAAAGCAAAAGTCTCTACTCAAATAAGCAAATCAAAACATCCAAATACTCAATCTGTCTCAAAATTCTATAGACGCTAAATTTCTCTAAATGAATATGAAACTACTATAAGAGTTATTCTCTTAGAATAAAATAATTGAGCTAAATCTTAGTTATAATATGATTGGCGATGATGGCATTAAAGAACTTATCAACGTATTCTAGAATCAGAATGGGAGTTTTAAAATCCTAAATTTGAGATCAAATTGTATTACCCATTAAAGTTCTTAAGTAATCTCTTAGATAATGATACGAAATGAAAACCTAGAATTAGATATATCGCAGAACTCTTTAAAAGATTAATTCTTTCAACAAATAGTACTCGAGAGATCTGGAAATGGGTATAATGTGATTCATCTCATTTTAGAAATTTGTGATTTGAGTGATAGAACAATTATTATCCTGACTGAAAATCTCAAACTTTTTCCTTTTCTTACAAAGATAAACCTAGACTATAATAACTTTAAGAATTAGTAGTTGATAGAAGACCTACAAGTAAAAATACTGCTAAGATAAAAATCTAAGAAATGGGACTAGGATCTTCCATTGCCTATTCAATCAGAGCAATCCTCTGACATTACTGATCTTTACTTCACAGATCTAAACGATTTACTAACATTAAAGTACATTTTTGAAAAAACTTAACTTATAATCAGTGATAGAATTCTAACTCTAAACTAGTAAAAGATTGAGCATATATTCCAAATTTAAAACAAGATAATTCAGAAGTTTCTGAATCTATATCACAGATCAATAACATAAGTGTCAAGTAATAGTGAATTTTCTTCGCCTATGAAAGGAGGAGATCAGAATAAAAATATCAATTTAGCACCAATGCCTCTCAAATAAGAAATTATATCTAGCTCGATTGATTTAGTATAAAGTTTTAGATCTATCGCTCTGTAAAGCAATATCACTGTGCTAGACATATCCAACAACAATTTAGCTGATGCTAACTTAACAAGAGGTATTAATATGCTAAAAATTTGCTCTCATAAGTTAAGTGTTCTAATCCTTGATGGAAATAACATGAGTTTTCATTCCTTAAAATCCCTGAAAAGCATTATTGAAAAACTTGGTATTACACACATTAATATGCTAAGTCTAAGAAATTGTGGTATCAAATGCAATTGTTAATAAAGTGATTATAATCCTAATGATTTTAGTAGTTTTAGATCAAAAGCTCAAATTAATAAATGCTAAGTGGAAATGTTGATCTGTATTCTCGAAATTATATCAGAAGATATAACTTACTTAGATCTCTCTGATAACAAAGAAATCGGTATTTGCTTTATGTTGCATATTAATATGGTAAAAATGATTAAAATTAGGACTTTAAAACTTTGCTCTATAACCTAAGATTAAAATATGATTAAAAAATTTAAGACTTATCTGAGATAAAATTCTTAGATTTTAGATTTTCAATTGATTTCGCCTGATATGGCTTTTAATCCTACTATTCTTTCATATTATAAGTAAAAGATACAACCAATTATTCAGGAAAACTAAGAAAAATTTAAAAAAGAAAACAAAATTTAAGATATTTAAAAGCTATTTCTAAATATGAGATTGAGCATTATAAACGATAACATGTATATAAATACAGATCATATTTATTTCTTTTCAGATTCCTTTAATAAACAGATTAAATTTTATCAGGCTTTTGATTTCAAAACTAATAAAAAGTATATTTTAATTCCAGATGATTAAGCCTTGATGATTTAAAAAGAAGATTAGGGAATTTGGTTGAATAACCTTGGCTTTAGTTATTATCATTTCAAAGATGGTATTAAAAGATGCTATATTTATGAAAACTTTGATTATGTTCTCTTGGATCTCATAAAGCAAAGTAATCAAAGTGAGATTAATGGAAAAATTGGAGGATCTGATTTAGATAAACTCCAAATTTCAAAGTTAGTTTTAGATTTTTATGAGAAATTTGCTAGAATAAAACAAGCATTCTTTTTCCACTCAAGCTAATTAGTTATTATTAGACTGTAAACCGACTTTGTCTTAAAGTTATTGCCATACAAGCCATTCTTTGATTATACAGTGATGCTGCAGGATGTTAAATAATAAGAAGATTTAGATATTTCAACATTTAGGAGTACACTTAATAGCTTTATTAATGAATAAATACTTCCAAATAAGATTAAGATTCATGCACTGAAAAAGTATTGGAAGTATGTCTTTTCTATCAACAGTAATTCTAGCACTGATGAGGAATATTTACAAAAATAGACAATGAAAGTTTAAAGGCTTATAAAAAATATCAAGGATTAAAAGGCTTTGTATGATAAAAATACACTATAGATGTTAAATGTAGCACTATTGATTTTAAATGATATTTATGGAATGAAGCTAAATTTTAAGAAGCATAAAGATGCTGCAATATAGATGGATAAATTGCTTTTGAAGTTCTTTTTAAAATGCAATGAGGAAGATTAAGAGAATTAAGATTTTAATGCAATTGGTGGAATTGATGTCGAAATAAAGTCCGCATCTTCATCAAACTATAATGATGAGGAGAAAATAGATACATTTTTAGCTGATAATGTTTATCTAAGGCTAAGTTAATTGTTAAATTAATGATTATTGAAACATATATTAAAATTTTAAGACTTTGATTGATTTTGTTATCGATTCAAAATATTTCATCACAGTTATCAATACTTGTCGGCTATACAATTAATTTTTCTTTGTAAGGTTTCATTTCATCTAAAACATGAAAAGCTAAGCTTCTCATCAAAGCTATTAAAAATTTCATATCATTATCACCATAGCTATAATTATTTTCCTTTATGTATAATCTGTAAATCTCACTTATTTAAAAAAAGTCTTTTTCATCATTAAGCTCTCTAAGTCTATTATAGTACAAGATTTGCCATTCATACATATTTGTTGCAAATGCATACATTTAGTCCACGTTCCTCGCTCTACATAGAAATCTCAAATCTTCCATACCCTTATAGACAGCCTCTTTAACCATCTTTTTATGAGTCACAATCAGGAATCCATTTGTCTCTGTAGTTTTATCAATCGCTATCAACCTGAATTCTCTTTTGACCTTCATCATATTAACTCTAAAATTGTCTATGATTTAAAATTCGCCTAATCTTTAATCAAATTTAGAATCTAGAGCGGCTTTCAAAATTATGCTACTCAATTCCTAAAGTCTTGTATCCTTTTTCCAAATATCCCTAGCTGCACTTCCAAATGTCCTTAAAAATGTTAAGACATTTAGTCTGACATCAAGTATATTGACTTTTTATTGAGTATCTTTTGCATCTTTAAAAACATTTTGATGTGATAATGTGCCGAATTTTTTCCTTTAAGCTATTTTAGGATATATTTCTTTCATAAAATCTTCTCTTTTGTAGACCTTCATAGCTCTTGCCCAACTTACAACTATTGGTGCATTTATTGTAGATTTATATAAATCCTCGCAATAATTTTTATCTATTTCAAGCATTTTATTCTAAAGATTGACTGAAACTTGCTCAATTTTAGTATCCATCTGCCATTCATATTCCTACATGACCATATTTACAAATTCTTGAACAGACATCTAGTTCGGAGAATTGAAAGATTTTGGTGAAGGCCAAGTCTCAAGTTTAAACCAAATTGTAACTTTTAATTTTAATAATATTCTAACTTATACTTACAATTATGACAATTAGTGAGAGATCTTTTAAAGAAGGAGTTCTCAGTCATTTCATCTTAAGAGGAAGGTAAGACTTATTCTCATTTATTTCTCTTTCCCAATAGGTTATCTTTTATATTGCTTACCTCTTGATCCTCTGGATTTATATTTTTCAATTTTTTCATGCACCTTTAATTGAATTTATTCAGTTTTCCGGGGTTTTGGGGTTTTGGGG